TGGCGCGGGATCGGGCAGTGTTTCGTTCTGCTGTGCATGGGGTCGCTATGAGTCGGAAACGACTCGACGGCACTTAACAACAACAACAACAGTCAGAAACAAACAAATGCAAACCAAAAAAGACCCCCAACATCTCTTTATGTTGTTATGTGCCGTCGAGTCTGCCCCGACTCATAGCGACCCCTCCTTGGGTTTCCGAGGCAGTATCACTACGGAAGTAGATTGTCCAACCTTCCTTTATAAGATAGATAGATTGAAATGAGAAAAATTTCATGGAGACTAAATTCAGAATATAACCTGATTTCCTTCAGGGTTTGGGGTTTTTAAAACATAGACTAGACCAATTTTACTGGGGAAAAAAATGAAGGAAACAAACAATAAAAAAGAACAAGTGGATGTATATATTGGTACAAGTTTGATTTATAAATAAGATCATCTACCAAAGTGCACAGATGCCTTCATAATTTAATGTAAAATGCAGATAATCAGTAACAGAGATTTGAAAATACCAGAGATAAAAAACTAACATTTAAATGGCAAATATTAACCAGGAAGTTCAAAAAAAGTTTAAAGGGCAGTGAAACAAAACACAGCATGAACCAATCAAAGGAATTAATGTCACAAGGGCACATCAGCGACTTTCAGAGAGTTTTTTAAAAGGGAATGTCCTAAGGATAAGAATCTTCCAGTCATTTCAAAGGCTTAATAAGGCCTAGCTCCAACCCACCTTTGAAACTCACTGTTATGGACTGAACTGTGTGCCTCAGAAAGATGTGTTAGAAATGGTAGGCAATCATATCTGGAAATGCTGTTGTTGTTGTTGTTGCTGTTCTGTGCTGTCGAGTTGGACCCAACTTATAGCAACTCCTCCTTGGGTTTCCGAGGCAGTATCACTACGGAAGTAGATTGCCTAACCTTCCTTCCGAGGAGTGGCTGGTGGGTTTGAACCGCCAGCCGTCTGGTTAGCAGTCAAGTGCCTTAGGCACTGCGCTACCAGAGCTCCTATCTGGGAATAAGGTTTTATTATTCATCAGTGTAGGGTGTGTTGGACGCCAATCACATTTGAGAAATAAAAAGAGTAGATTAGGGCTAGAGAAGGCACCACACATGGGCGGGAGGGATGATCATCAAGGGACCAGGAACAGAAGCTGAGATCAGGACCGTCCCCCAGACGCCAGAGGGAAAGGCTCCCCCTCCAGCCGGCGCCCTGGCTTGGCCTCCCCGCCTCCTCAAATGTCTGCTCATTAAAGCCCACACTTGGGATTTTTGTTACAGCAGCACTAAGCATCTAAGACACTCACCTATCATTTTGGCTTCCTCTTCGGTTAAGGTTTTACTCAAATAAGTTTTCTTCACTCTCAGGGTGTTTCCGGAAGGGAGAACAGCTCCCGTCACAGGCATAGGAGGGTCACCATCTTTCTGCTGCAAGCTATCGGCTATGACCAAGAAAGCTCTTAAGCCAATGTTCATTCTCTGTAAAAGACAACACGTTCGGGACACAAAGAGAGACCCAGTTATTTTAGTGGCATCAACACCTCAGTTTTCGAGAGCGGTTAAGTGTGTGTGGCTTGATAAGAATGGGAAATGAATCTAAAAGCACAAGAGTGTGGGCCAAATTGATGAAGATAAAAAATTAAGCTCCTGTCACTATTTGTGGCTGTGTCACAAGAAAACTGGGGAGACGTTCGCCCAATCTGGAGGGCGTGTTTGAGAGAACCATGCCATGTTCTGCTTGGGATGTCCCAGGTAACCCTCCAAGTCGTTGCTGGATGCTGTTGGACTGATCAGACTCTAGGAACCTGTGTCACAGAGCAGAACGGCCCTACAGGGTTTTCTCGGCTATAATCTGTATGGGAGCAAGATCACCAGGTGGTCTTTTCTCCCTCGGAGCTGACGAGTGCATCTGAAATGCCAATCTTTTAGTCAGCACCAGAATGCTTAACTGTTGTGCCACTGGGGCTCCTAGGCATGGTGGGTATCCTGTGGAGCAGCTGAAACTGAGGTAAACTGAGGTAAACAAAAGGCTCCATGTCTTCCAGAAGAAGCCCTAAATATTAACTCACAACAAAGAGGGTTCCACGGGGAACCCCAAGCCAAAAACCACCTGCTCTGACTTGCAGGTGTGGCCTTCAATTCACCACGGCCAGCACGTTGGGAAGTATGTTTTAAAAAGTCACCACACAGAACTTGTTACTGATATAAATACACAGACGTATGAGAAGAACAGCCATTCTGGGTTGATGGTTCTTTCTTGGGCTAGGTAAAGCGTAAACGTTGGCTTGGAAAGATGACTCAGCAAGTAATGGTCCTCGGAAGTGCTGACAGCAAAAGGTCAGCAGGGACCGAAACAGCTGTCCTTCTTAAACAACCATCTGGTACACATTTACACTCATCACTATTTTCAAATCTGATTGTGCAGTAACTTCTCAAAGTAGACCGTTGTTGTTGTTGTTGTTACGTGCCGTCGAGTTGGCTCCAACTCACAGTGACCCCACACATGACGAAACAAAACACGGCCTGGCCCTGCATCAGCCTCACAATCCTTGCTATACACAGGCCCATCGTTGTAGCCACTAGGACATCCATCTTGAGGATCTTTCCCTTTTTCACTGACCCTCCACTTCACCAAGCGTGATGTCCTTCTCCAGGGAATGGTCCCTGCTGACAAAATGACCAACGTAGGTAAGATGGAGTCTGGCCATTCTTGCTTCCAAGGAGCATTCCGGCTGCACTTCTTCCAGGACACATTTGTTCATTCTTCTGACAGTTCATGGTACTTTCAGCATTCTTCGCCAGCACCACAACTCAAAAGCATCGACTCTTCTTCAGTCTTCTTTACTCATTGTCCAGCTCTCACATGCATACGAGGCGATTGGAAATACCACGGCTTCGGTTAGGAGCACCTTAGTCTTCAAAAAGACACCTTTGCTCTTCAGCACTTCAAAAAAGTCTTTTCCAACAGATTGCCCCCAAAACCAAACTCACTGCCATGAAGTCAATTCTGACTCACAGCGACCCCCGTAGGGTTTCCAAGGTGGTAAATCTTCACACAAGTAGATTGCTCCATCTTCCTTTCATGGACCCTTCTGGTTGGCAGCCAAACGCCTCAGGCACTGTCCCATCGTAGCTCCTTATACTCCCTACAGCAGATGGTGATTGCAGGACAGGCAGTCCACGGGTGACCAACAAGTTCTGTTCCTAAGTCCGTCTCAAAGCGAATGGGCAGGTAAGTTGGGACAGTTAGGTACAGTATCTAACATCAATCAATCAAATGCTTGTCTTAGTATATAGTACATAGTATACCTTTCTATAAATAGAAGACGTTAAAGAAACACTTCCAGATACACTAAACATCTTCAACATGATACAGTCATAACACTTTCATTGAGTCACAAGGCAATGGCTGTTAGTTATTATGAACCACTGTATGAACCTCAATTTTTTAACATAACAGGGTTTATGGGGGTTGGGGAGTGGGACGTTCAGTGCCCCAGGACTGGTTGTAGTAATGACAAGCGTGGTTACTGTTTACCGTACCCCTCACACGTGCCCAGAACTGCTCATGAACTGTAATCCTTAACACAGTATGCATATGGGGATTCCCGTTGTTCAGCTGAGGAAACCGAGGTCTTCCCTAAGGAGAAAGTGGGGAGGCTTGCACCCACTTAGCTCTGCCTGAATCCCGTACAGCGGGGCTCTTATACCATGAAGCACCAACCTATTTTAGAATGTGAAATAACACTGACTGAGGTTCCTTTAAAACTACTTAGTCAAGCTTAGGAGTTATAATGTTCAACCAGGAACCAAAGAGTATTTCTGACTCATTTATATCCAATCCAATGTGTATTTTCTAACTGTACAAACTTTGACGATACCCTTTGCCTGTCTACTGTTTGGAATGAAAAGCATTGACTTTTTTTTTAAAAAATTTTATTTTGATTTGTGCGAAAGTCTACAGAGCAAATTCATCTTCCATACAGCAGTTCTAAAGCAATGGAATGCTAACGAGAAGGCTGGCGTTCAAACCCACCAGCCACTCCTCAGAAGGAAGATGGGGTCATCTACTTCTGTAGTAATACTTCCTTGGAAACCCAAGGAGGAGTCGCTATGAGTCGGATCTGATCCAATGGCAGCGAGCTTTGAGTTTCTTTTTTCTCATGACATTGACTGTAATCTCCCACAATTCCACAGCTTCCCTCCCACTTCCTCCCCATAGTCACCTCTTCCCTGTGTCCTTCCCTCCATGCACTCCTGCCCCCAAGCTGTCTCCCTGTGAATACACAGCCCTTCTTTCTCCCATGAGTGATCTCTCCAAGGAGTGTATCTACCTAATGTAAACGTTCAGCTCATATGCCTGTCTTTTGTTTGGCTGGAAGCCACAGGTGTGGGTTCAATTCCAGACCTGAAGGGCATCTAGGGGCCATCTCTGAGGGGTTCCACCAGACTCTATCACACCAGCAAACCAGGTCCCCCCTTCCACCTTTTTTTTTTAAATGATTTTGAGTTTTGTTCTGCATTGTTCTCCCACTCTAGCCAGGATCTCAAGAGCATCAACTTTTAAAAATGTATCTGTACAGCAATGCTTCTGCACTCCCTCAGTTATTTTAGTAGTTATCTCATGAAACGTTTCCAAGGACGTCTGTCTCTCTAAAGACAGTATCTCGCAGAAGGAGCCAGTGTTCACCTCATACAGTCACCAAGAGTTGACATCCATGGCCGTGTCTCAATTATCTGCAAGTGGATTATCCACTTGATAAGTCATTCCTGCCAGTTCTCTAAGCTTTCCTTCTCTTGTGGATAATACAGAGGACAGAAGGAAGACGAGACACTTTAGAACAAACATTTTGAACTTAATTTCAAAAATTATATATGTTGTTGTTGTTATGTGCCGTCAAGTCAGACCCAACTCATAGCGACCCCTCCTTGGGTTTCTGAGGTGGTATCACTACAGAAGTAGATAGCCCCATCTTCCTTCCGAGGAGTGGCTGGTGGGTTTGAACCACCAGCCTTCTGGTTAGCAGTCAAGCGCTTTATGCACTATGCGACCAGAGCTCCCCAAATTTTATTTATATATATATAGATAGATAGATAGATAGATGTGTACATATATGTATATATATATGTGTGTGTATGTATGTAAATATACATATATATACCACATTATGTTAATTTCTGTCTCATAACTCCCCCTTTATTATCTATCTGGCTTTCAAAATTAATTTTTTTCCCCTAGATTCCATCTTCCTTCTCTGTGGCATGGGATAATAATATCTATCAACCATGGAGGGGTATTATGAGCACATGACAAGTTGTTGCTGGTAAATGTATACATTGCAAGCCAATCTACTGTTCTATTTTATTAAAATATAATTTACAGGAAGGAAAATCCACAACTTTCACTTGTCTAGTTCTATGAGTTTGGACAATACATACATTCTCTGTCTTATTTGCTTGCTAACTGTGCTGTTCCCCTGAGAGATACGTTTTGGAAGTGTGCTATGTTAATTTTTTTTCAGAGCAACATGTAAAAAAAAAAAAAATTGGGTTATCAAGCTTATGGAAAATATGGGGGAGGGGCACAGTTGGCAACCATACATAGAATTCACACATTATTTGCATCAAAATATGGCACTGTAGCTTGACTATAAGTCTTGGAATCAGTTTATGCTAGTTCTTCAACATTATTCTTCTTTTTCAAAATTGTGTTGGCTCTTCTGGTTTCTTTGATTTGTGGTATCAATTTTAGAGTCAACTGGTTTGTTTCTATAGAAGACATACACCAGTTTTGACTGGGTTTATATTTATTCTGAAGAGTCCTGGTGGTGCAACAGTTAAGTACTTGGCTGCTAACCGAAAGTTGGAGGTTTGAACCCACCAGCTGCTCTACGAGAGAAAGGGCCGATGCTCTGCTCCCTCAAAGACTAAAAACCCACTGCCGTGGCGTCGATTCTGACCCACAGCGCCCCTAGAGGACAGAGTGGAACTGCCCACAGGGTCTCCAAGGCTGTCAGTCTTCACAGAAGCAAAGCCCAAACCACACCCACTGCCTGGAGTCCATTCTGACCCACAGCGCCCCTAGAGGACAGAGTGGAACTGAACCACAGGGTCTCCAAGGCTGTCAATCTTCACAGAAGCAAAGCCCAAACCACACCCACTCCTGTGAAGTCCATTCTGACCCACAGCGCCCCTAGAGGACAGAGTGGAACTGCCCCACAGGGTTTCCAAGGATGTAAATCTTTCTGGAAGCAGACTGCCCCATCTTTCTCTCATGGAGTGGCTAGGGGTTGAAACTGCTGACCTTTTGGTTATCAGCCCAATGCTTTAAGCACAGCACCCCCATAACCCCTTCCAATGAAGATGACAGCCTAGGAAACCCTATGGGGGAAGTCCTACTCTATCACATGGGGTCGCTATGGGTTCGGGTTGACTTGACGGCACCACCACCAATATATTTAACCTCTATGAATTAATTTGGAGAGAGCTGACTTCTTAATAATATTGAATCTTCCAATCCACAGACTCAGTCTTTCCAAATGGGTTTCTGTGATTTCTCCCGTAAGTGCTTTGTAGTTCTCATCATACAAATCTCACACATATTCTATTAGCTTTATCACTAATCTTTCCTATTTTCTACGAGTATCATAAATGGTGATTTTTTTTTTTAATTCAATTTCTAATTGTTCATTCCTAGACTATCAGAATGCATTGACTTTACCTATTTATCTTGTATCCTGTTAACTTAAGGTTGTTCATTAGTTCTTACAGGTTCTGTGGCTTCTTGGGGATTTTAAACCAAGACAACCCTTGTTGTTGTTGTTGTTGTGTGCCGTTGAGTCGGCCGGCCCCGACTCATAGCAACCCCCTTCTTGGGTTTCCGAGGCAGTATCACTACAGAAGTAGGATTGCCCAACCTAGGATCTGCAAATGATGTAGTTATTAGGTTCTCCCACTTCATCCAGGATCTCCTGCGCTGATCCCTTTCCGAGTGTTTGACAGTGGTAACCGGACACCATCTACTTCTTCTGGTCTCATGGTCATATAGGCTGAGGATCACATGGTCTACCAGCCCCTTGGACTAATTGTTTCCAGAGCATGGAATGATCTATGTGGGATCAAATTGGCAAGGCAACTTGAAAAGTTGGATGGGTAAGTTTGGAAGCAATGAGCTTTTTTTTCTTTATATAAAGTGTCAATTATTTTATGTACATATTTTTAATGTTTTACTGTGTTTCCGAAGAAGGTTTACCCAGCAGTTTTTGTTCCCATTCAATGATTTCTACACAAATTGTTCAGTGACCTTGGTTACATTCTCCACAAATATGAATATTCTCATTAATTTCATTCTGGTTGTTCCTTTTCCATTTATCTAGCTTCCTTGCCCCCTTACAGTCTCATCTTTGTTTTAAAATTCTGGTTGAACGCTTGGTCTCACAGAAGTGACTTTTAATAGGAGCCAAGGACTCACTAAAACCACACACACACACACACACACACACAAACAACTCCCTGCTATCAAGTCAATTCCAACTCATAGTGACCCGCATTGGATTTCCAAGGCCATAAATCTTTCTGGAAGTAGATTGCTCGGTCTTCCTTGGTAGGACTGGCTGATGGGTTTGAACTGCCAACCTTCTGGTTAGCACTCAAATACCTTAGGCACTACGCCACACTGTTAACATAGAGTGAACATTTACATCAGGTAGATATACTCCTTAGAGCAATCAATCATGGGAGAATGGAAGGGCAGTGTTTGCACAGAAACATACCTCAGGAGGGAGGAATGCATGGGACAGAAGAACACAGGGAACAGGGAACCACAGGGAGGAAGTGGGAAGAGACCTGTTGCATTGTGGGGAACTGCAGTCAATGTCATGAAACAAAATGTGTACCAACTGCTGTACGCAAAATGAATTTGCTCTCTAAACTTTTACCCACATCACAATAAAAATTTAAATAACAATAATAAAACAAGTGCTTTTGCAATAAACTTTTTTTTTTTTTTTGGACAAGAAGGGCAGAATGTGGCAGCACACCAACTTTTCACCACTGTAAATGGGCAGGTTGGAAATTTTACTTCTGAAATACCACCAGCTCCACCACTCTCTTAAACAACATGCAGAGACACCAGCAGAAGAAACTGGAAAAGACAGCCCTCACCCCAAGCCCCAAAGCCTGAAAGCCGAGAAAAGTAGGGGTCTGAGAACACGCGCTCGGTGGAAGCCCGTAGGCGGGTCATGCATTCATACCTCCGGATTGAGACTGAAAGCTTTGGCTGGTTTCCCCACACAAAGAAAATCGAAAATGATTTCTTTCATTGCAAAATCCAAACGTTCCTATAGTGGAAGCAAGAAAACAACACAAGGCGGTGAAAACACAAATCCAGCATGATACAGCTTGTCGTCAGTGGCTACACACAGCACAACATGAAGGAATGAGAGCTCCTTCTACATTTTATGAATTACGGGGCGTTTCCCGAGGAAGAGCATGCCCATCAGAACCTCTGGTGGAGCCATTTCTCTCTGCATATGGTTTGTAGACAGGCCTTCATTAGATATGTAATTACATCATACATGACCCACAAAATGTAAAGAAAACCTGGAGTGTGTGGTCTTGTAACCAATCCAAATTCTGCCTCTTTGTACTGTGGTATCTAGGCGTCAGGTGCCGTTCAGTGCATTCTGACCCACAGCGCCCCGAGAGGACAGAGTGGAACTGCCCCAAAGGACAGAGTGGAACTGCCCCAGAGGGTGTCCAAGGCTGTCAGTCTTCACAGAAGCAAAGCCCAAACCACACCCACTGACATGGAGTCCATTCTGACCCACAGCGCCCCTGAGGACAGAGTGGAACTGCCCCACAGGGTCTCCAAGGCTGTCAGTCTTTATGAGAGCAAAGCCCAAACCACACCCACTGCCATGGAGTCTATTCTGACTCACAGCGCCCCTAGAGGACAGAGTGGAACTGCACCAGGGGTTTCTAAGGCTGTCAATCTTCACAGAAGCCAAGCCCAAACCACACCCACTGCAGTGGAGTTGATTCTGACTCACAGCGCCCCTAGAGGACAGAGTGGAACTGCTCCACAGGGTTTCCAAGGCTGTCAATCTTCACAGAAGCAAAG